GCTGAAACATCTTCTTTTGACATGTAGGCTTCAAATATACTCTTCTTCCTCCCTTGAGTGTGTTTATTTCGGTTCTTTCTGTCACCCGACGTTGGGATGGCAGCATAGGATCCTCCTGCAAACACAAAGCAACAAGTGTTATCTCACCACCCAAACTTGTCTGTGTATCTTAACAGCAGCTGCACAGAGGCTTCGTATTCAGAGCTGAACTTCAGAGAACAGTTTGCCTAGAAATACTGGCACTCAACTTCAGAGCACCGAAAAGCCTGGAATAATCATATTTTACAAATAACCAACAGTCTTTTACAGCTCATTATAGAGTTAAGAGCATTCATCCCAGCCCATCTTTTAATAGTGGTGAGCACATGCTTCAAGGCAGCTTATTCCTAAAGCATGTACGCACTCTGCTTTAATACCTCTGGGAGTTCCCAGTTGTCTAGGATTTATTCTGCTGTCTGCACTGTCCATTGTTTCTGTCTGCGATTCAGAGAGTTGCCTCTTCCTGTCGAAGTTTGGGGGAGTTCTTGCAGATTCAGAGTTGTTTCTGGTCCTTGCAAACCCTCTCTTTTCTGCACCTGAAATCAAACACAGGTTCGAAATAGCAGGGGAGGGAAGAGGAACCCCATCACCAGCTTGTGCTCCTGGTGAAACGCACGCTCTGCGGTACTTCAGTACAAATCACGACCGTGAGTCATGCTCTTTATCCAAAGAAATGATGTCTTCATTAGTTCATTTGTAATCTGTTGGCTCTTCGTGCCTCTCAATCCACCAACAACTTATTTTAGCATAAATAAAACTCTGGAAATTACGATACTAAAGTTGGATACATCCCTTCCAAAATCCTGGGAAATTCATTAGAGCACATAAAATGTGAAATTGTTAAACTGCTTCCAAAGCCTCCACCCCATTAAGCCCCCAAGTAGTGAGAAAATATAACTTCCCTACAACTTAATTAAGTAGTTGAGGAATCAAGGAGGAAAACAAAAAAATCTCAACAACCCACTCTGGAGTAATTAACTTTTGAGCTACCAGAAGCAGCCCGGTACACGACGACACAAGGCTCCAAATGTCCAGCCTCCTCAGAATGGGCCACAATCATATGAAAATATTCTGCAAAGACTCACCCCTTCCTTCCCTGCCATCACCTCAGCCCCTTCCCTACAGCCAGGAGAGCAAGCAGCAGCTTCCAAAGCGTATGCCAACGCTGTTCCACGGATCAGCACATTGGAATGCAACCCAGCGCCGCGCAGCTGCCCTCTTGGCCCTCCACCTGGATACTGAACATGTCATCACAGCTTTGCCTTCCAGCCCCTCCTGGCTACGCTCCCTGGGTCCAAGCTTGTACCTGCAAGTCAGAAAACGTGTAATGCCAATTCATTTGCTACGGGGCTATCCAAGTTACAAGGCAAATTTTTTTATGTATGGTATCCTTCACAAAGGAAGTCGCAGCTTGCTTCATAGAATTAAACTGAAGCAGCGAGGAAAAAAATGTTAAAAAAGTTGTACTTAAGCAGAAATCTTTAAAAATATGGTACAATAAGAGCAAACTGCCACTTTACCCAGTCACAGATGAGAAGCAACTTCCATTATACCAACCGGCAGATGACCAGGAGGAGGGTGGGATCCTCCACATTCAGGAGGGGAGACACCAAGACAGGCAGAGGGACAACTCAAGGCGCCGGCTCAGACCAGCACAGGAAGAGATGAAATGCCACAGCAGCATCTCCAAACAGGATGCTGACATGAAGAGGGGGCCTCAGTGTTGACTGACAATAAGGATAAGGGCAACGCAGTTTGGCCTCTGTCCACGTGACTGAGGTTTTCACGCTCTGCGCATGCTGCGGGGAGGAGACTGTCCGAGGGAGCTGTAACACGCCGAGAGCGCAGCCGCAAATTTAGGTTTCAACCGACGCAAATGAGGCAATACTGCCTGTACGGACCACGCCGTGAGACAGAACGAAAATTAACTGATCTGAAAATGCCTAAAGAACTGCTCTGCGAATGCCCCAAGGGTCATGAGATGGAGCTGAAAAACAGGCACCGAAAAATAAAAGCATGGACTAGAGAGATCTGAGCAGAATAGCTTCTGAATCGGCAACAGGGTTTGCTCTGGATTGGGATTTCAGAGACGTTTTGGAGAAGGAATCTAGGTTAAACTGCAACAAGTGGGACCTTGGGAACACTATTAAGGAAGCAAGGCACTAGGCTGATCACCCCGAGAGGGCACGCAACCTGCGTGGTTGCAGGTTCTTAAAAACAGGTGAGACAGACGCCTGCCAGAGTTGGTCTGAAGAGTAGTTTTTTCCTTGAGGGAGTGAAATGGATTACTCGAGCTTGTGAGGTCCTCTGAAGATCTCATTCCTATGACAGCAAGTCACAGAAAACACTACCATGAATTAAAGAATTTGGTATAAAAAGGAAGCTAAAACAACCTGCGTGGTTGCAGGTTCTTAGAAACAGGTGAGACAGACGCCTGCCAGAGTTGGTCTGAAGAGTAGTTTTTTCCTTGAGGGAGTGAAATGGATTACTCGAGCTTGTGAGGTCCTCTGAAGATCTCATTCCTATGACAGCAAGTCACAGAAAACACTACCATGAATTAAAGAATTTGGTATAAAAAGGAAGCTAAAACTTAACATGGAATTAAGAAGGAGGCAAAAAAAGAGAGCAGAAGGCTTTGGCTTGCTCTCCAGTGCGATTTTTCATCCACTCAGGCCCAAACTCAAAGAAAAAACTTGACTCAACTGAACAAACTGTTCGACATAGCCGGCTTGGCAAGCCCGTTCACACACAGCCACTTTGGGTATTTGATGGCCGCGATGTTCATGGCCAAACAAAACCACCCCTGTTACAAAGCCACAGACAACTGTCACAATTAGCAATCAACTGGAACACATCGGATTCTGCATGACTCTAATTTCTTGTATTTCTCCTTTTAAAAGAAAGGGCTAACCACAGGTTGCCACCTGTTTCCACTAGATTCAATATTTGCTTCTCTGATGCAGCTGTCCCCTAAAACTGGAAGTCAGAAAGATTTCTCATGATGGCTTTGCCTGCTGTCCCTGCTGCCCAGCATTAATATTCCGATGGGTAAACAGACATCATTCCACAAAGCAAACTAACTTGACAAATGTAAAGATAGCAGGGGATATATGGAGACTATTCTTTCTGAAATAACTGCTATCACTGACTTGGTTAAACTCAATACCAGCATCAGGTGTGTCAAAAGTCTGTGGTGTTGCAGTTGTGTGACTTGTAAGGTCTAACAAAACCTTTTAAGGTGTCACACCTTTGTATTGTAAAGTACAAAAATGTTTGTATTTTATAATTTACAACACATTTATATAGTATATATGCATATATT